GCTGCACAACATCAAGACCCCTTTCCTGTTCCATACTTGGGCATTTGACAGCGCAGCAATCGAAAGGCCACAAATTGCAGCGACTGAAGTTAGTACCAAGTGGGTGGAGGCCATGCCAATGAGGAAGGCAGACGGGGCAGGAGTAGCCAACTTCATTAGAGAAAGCATAATCTGTAGGTTTGGCATACCAGAAGTAATGTTGTCCAACAATGGAACTCCCTTTGTAAATCGTCATGTGGGAAGATTGTTGAACGCTAGGAATGGCAACGGGGCGGGGCGGGGCCGGGGACTGCCCTTCCCGTCCCCGACCCCCAAAGATTAAAAAATCCCCCTCTCCGCCCCTGATCCCCACCAGGGGAGCCCATCACCCTCTCGTTCCCGTCCCCTAACGAGGATCGGGTTTCCCGGACCCCGAAATGTCCCCGAGCTTTTTTTTTTTTTTTTTGAATTTTGTTTAACAACTCACTTACTAATCAATATATATCACAAATCAAAAAAAAAATTAACAGATCAATATATAACAGATCTAACAGATCAATTTTGTTTAATATATAACAGATCAATATATAACTAACACAGATTAAAAAAAATTATTCTGAACAATACAGATCAACAACATCAGATCAGAGAGAGAGAGAGATAATAGATTTGAGTACAACTCCATCGTCTGGCACAGATCTAAGCGATGCCAATGACCAGGCTCTATGGCGAGATCGACGGTAGTTGTGGTGGTGGGTTCGGTGGTGGTGAGAGAGAGATGGACCTTCTGCTTAAGAATAGAGAGAGATGAAGTGGAGATAGAGAATGAGAAATTGAGGCGAGGAGAAGAGAGTTCCCGTCCCCGGCCCGAAAATTATTAGGGATGTATTTTTCAATACCAGCCCCGGCCCTATAGTAAATAATTTTCGGGGAAAACCCGATTTATCGGGACAGGAGAGAGAGAGGGGGGTCGGGGCCAGCGGTGATGGTGGCGATGTCGCCGTGTCGTGACTATGAGAGAGTTGAGTTGAGAGAGAGAGAGAGTTGAAAACGAGAGAGTGAAGAGAGAGAGAGTTGAGAGAGAGAAGATAAGTGTCAGAGAGAGTGAGATAGTTGAGAGTCAGTGAGAGAGAAGATAAGATCAAAAGTGAAATAGATATTTATATAATACAACTAAGAGGAACAGAGGCGGGGATGAATCGGGGAAATTTCGGGGCGGGGCCGGGGCCGACGAGCCTATTCCCGTCCCCGGCCCGAAAATTATTAGGGATGTATTTTTCAATACCAGCCCCGGCCCTATAGTAAATAATTTTCGGGGAAAACCTGATTTATCGAGACAGGGCGGTCCGGTCCTCGTTGGGCCGAGTTGATATTGCCATCCCTACTGAACGCCTACCAGATCAAGCAGCACAAGTCTAGTCCATACTACCCCCAAGGGAATGGACAAGACGAGGTGACCAACAAAACCATCATCCGAATATTGAGTGAAATAATGGATGAAGCAGGGGGCACATGGTCTGAATGACTTCCTGTAGCACTCTAGGCGTATAGAACGTTAAAGAGAAAGCCAACTCAGGCAACCCCATTTTCCCTAGTGTACGAGTCTGAAGTTGTGTTACCAGTTGAGTTGGCAGCACCCTCAGCAAGAATGGCTATGTCAGCACACTTAGTTCCAGACAGCAGAAAGAATGACATAGAGGCAGCTGAAGAAAGAAGAGATCGAGCCTCGCGGGCAATGGAAAAGTATAATCAATCCATAGCTCGTGCCTACAATCAATCTGTTTAGCACAAGAAGTTCAATAAAGGGGACTTGGTATGGAAGACAATGGATAAAATCATGCGAGGGCAACTAATTCCCAAGTTCTCACCAAGATGGGAAGGCCCATACAAAGTTGCTGAGGCAAGCAACAGCGGGTACTACAAGTTGACAAGAGTAGATGATGGGTTCAAAACTGGCCCTATCATCGCCACGTTGTCTGCATGCTCGAGGAAACCATCGACTGCCTGAAGCCTATCCCTTATCCACGATAGGTCCAAACCGTTCCTCTCAAAGCCGCTCAGGTTTGCCTCGGCACTTTCCACGAACTTGCTAGGGGTGGTCATAATCTTCTTTGTAGTAAGGTCGCAAATGAAGCTGGCGAGTGACTCCAGCAGTGCTGTCTGCACCATAGATCCAGGAACGTTAAAAGCAGGAAAGGTGCCGAGGTGCAGCTCCTGGATGCGGGGCGAGAGTGGGAGCAGCTGCGGAGGAGACCCAATAACTTAGAAAAGAAACTTTCTCTGAGGGCTGAGGGGACTCCCTCACACCCCTGCCAACTTCAATCACTGGAGGGGGACTGGTGGAGGGACCAAAGATCTAAGGACGATGCACTTCCCTTGAAGATGATTTCCCAGCAGCATTGGAATAGGTAGATGCAGCGTTGGCAGCCGGGTGAACTAGCCTCGCGAGAAAGACTAAAGCTGCCTGCACCGTCATGTCGCTCCGAAAAGAGGTCATCCATCTGGTAGTCTCCAACGTTCAGATCTGGAACAGCAGTGGTATCCATTCCAGTATAAAAAATTTGGGATAACCCAAGGTCAGCTGGCACTTTCGGAAAGTGAGTGGGGTACAAGTCTGCCAGCTGTTCAAAGGTTGCCAAAGCAACTAGGTCAGAGGTCCCAGCGACAGCAATAACAGTGTGGGTGGCTAAAGTGACAGCTACCTCTGCAAGTCGGTCCAAATTTAGAGGGGCTACAGCAGGAACAGTGAAAGCAGTCGCTACACTTGCACTCTCCTTAGCCACTTGGGCGTTCGGAAGTGGGGTCTGCTAAACCAATGGAGACTCAGTGGACTGGGAGGAACCACCAAAGGGAGGTGGTGCAACTTCCAGCAGCTCTCTCATGCCGCTATCTTCCCTTGGGGTCTCTGGGCAAAAATCCTCTCCGCCGACAGAGGAACGGTCGGAGTGCACAGAATTAGCGAGGTTTGGAGGCTCTGCACCCTCCAACTAGGCCGCCCGCAACAACTTCCACAGCAAGGGGAACTTCATTTTCTGCAGCCTCCACAACTGGCTCAGCCTCAGTAGTTGGTGGGGCCCCAACACTTGGTTTTTCTTCAACATCTAGAAGTACTGCCGACAGAGGAACGGTCGGAGTGCACAGAATCAGCGGGGTTTGGAGGCTCTGCACGCTCCAACTAGGCCGCTCGCAACAACTTTCACAGCAGGGGGAACTTCATTTTCTGCGGCCTCCACAACTGGCTCAGCCTTAGTAGTTGGTGCGGCCCTAGCACTTTGTTCTTCTTCAACATCTGGAAGTACTGCCCTGCTGGTCCTGAACCTTGTGACCCTTGTAACAATGGGAAGGTCATCGTCGTTGTCGTCGTCTGAATCTGAGGAAATTCCAATGGCAGTAGAAGAACCTCTGGGGCCGGTGGTATGGCCGGTGGGCCTTGAAAAGAAAAAAGGTTATGTGATTACCAAAGTAAATGTAAGAAGTCTAAGGAATGTGATTTCCGGTTAGTGATGCTTCCAACCCAATTTGCATCTGTATGTACTTCCACTTGAAGATGTCCTTGTTTTTTAAATATCAAGCCTTTATCAGGAGTTCCCTTTAGATACCTTAGGATCCTGTATGCTTCTTCAAAGTTCTCCTTTCTTGGTGAATGCATGAATTGGCTTACTCTGCTTACTGCGAATGCTATGTTGGGACGTGTGTGACATCCGAGCAAGCCTGTTTTTTTGAGCAAGTCAATTGTGTACTTGCGCTGAGTGACAAAAATGCCCTCCTTAGATCTAGCGAACTCCATTCCAAGGAAGTATCTTAGTGCTCTAGGACCTTTATCTCGAAATCTTTAGCAAGTCCCTTCTTTTACTTTTTCGATTCGGCACTATCATTACCTGTTAGAATTATGTCATCTACATAAACAATCAAGATAGCTACTTTACCTTCTCTTGAGTGTTTATAGAACATAGTATGGTCTGCTTGGCTTTAACTGTATCCAAGGTTTTTTACAACCTTCCCAAAGCGTTCAAACCACGCCCTTGGGGATTGTTTGAGGCCGTATAGAGACTTGTTTAATTTGCAGACTTTATCTATACCAAACTTCTTTTCAAAACCTGGAGGTAGGTTCATATAGACTTCTTCTAGATTTCCATTTAAGAAGGCATTTTTTACATTTAATTGATGTAGAAGCCAGCTGGAATTAACTGCTAGTGACAGTAAAACCCGAATTGAGTTCATCTTGACAACTGGAGCGAAGGTTTCTTGGTAGTCAATCCCGAGGGTTTGTGTAACTTTTTTGCCACGAGTCTCACCTTATATCTTTCCACGCTACCATCAGCTTTGCACTTCACTGTAAATACCCATTGGCACCTAGTAGTCTTTTTGTCCTTAGGCAGGTTCACAGATGTCATATAGCATTTTATGCATAATATGAGTTTGATTATTAAATATGCTTCTGGGTGAATGTCCATCTACACATCGTACACCTGAGATCCTTACCCACGTAACATAGGTCGTGACCTAACCTACTCAATCATGACATGACCTATTGATGCGGAACGCATCACCTATTCATGGGCTCTTTGGGTTTATATGGCTTGGTGGTTAGAGCCAAGAGTTTTCCATGGTGTATTCCCTTTTCAAGACTCACACCTTAACCTTGAGGTGGCCAATCTGTGTGTGTGTGTGTGAGAGAGAGAGTGAGAGAGAGAGAGAGAGAGAGTTGCGTCTCACTGGTGCATGGGATTCCCTATCCTCAGGGGATGCAGTCATGCTTTGTACATCCTCTGTACCTGGGAGCACATTTAGTGTACTCCATTACCCATGCCTCCAGTCTTTGGTTAGGTCTTGTAATGGCCATCACTGTCAGAATCAGCAGAGGCTGCCACTTGGCAAGCCCTCTTCTGTGCTGCGTTTCTATACACCAGGAGGTCTTCTTCACCATCATGAATGTAATGGTAATTGTTAGAATTTACCATAAACCTACCACCACTACCACCTCCACTTCACCTACTCTCCACCACACTCCTATATAATAACTCTCTCCTAGGGAAAGGTTTCGCAGCCCTTGCTATCTTTTCTGACTCTATTATCTTTCTTACTGCTGCTCTCTCTCCTAGAACTCTTTAGGTACAGTTATCACCCAAGCTTGGTCTTCTTCCATCAGGTGTTATTTGAAATCTTTTAATCATCTTGTCACCTATCCCCACCCTACTTAGAATCAAACCTAAAATGGTATGATGAACAGATTGTACAGGAAAAGTAATAATTAGGGGGGATCTGTTGTATTATAACTTATCCTTTAGCCTGTGTTTGAAATCTTTGATTTTCGTAGGGATTTCCCTCCCTCTTCTTTTCCCCCCACAAATTCGTACACATTGAAGATCCAAGCACATCCTTACAGAAAATTGAACTGTTTAAAAAAAAAAATGATTTGCTTATATTGCTTGCATGCTTATTCTAAATCTGCAATGTATATAATTGATGATAGTACCGTTATTATCCCTGCAAAAAATTAAAATATTTAGTTCTATCTTTTTACTATTTTTATTAGTAGTATTATAATAATAATATTATTATTTACTATTCCACTTGGTTGTTCTTACGAAGTGCTACTTGCAGATTATAGATGCGGCAGATGAGGTGATTGATAGTGTTGACACAGATGAATTAGCGAAGTACTTTTCTTTCAAAAGTGATCCAGAAGATGAGGGGGCTGAGGTTTGTATCTATGTTTCCAGTGTCTTTCTTCTCACTCAAAATCCTGAGGAAACTGAACTACTGAGGCATTATCTTCTTTTCTATGGTATGGTACAAGGAAGGCAAGATCTTAGTTCTCTATAATTATGGTTTCAAACTTTTGACTGCTGCCAATTAAAACATGTAATGAACTGACATCTAGCTGTGGAGTGAGGCACTTGCAGATGTTCTCCCTCTGAGTTTGTTTTGTTGTTTGCCTGACTGGTTCATATTATAAAGTAATGGAAGCTTACATTACTTTTTTCTCTGTTATTAACAGAAAGTTAAGAAGAAGATGGAGACGGCACGTGACCAATTAGCGGAAGCTCTTTACCAAAAAGGATTAGCTATGGCAGAGATTGAATCCTTGAAGGTAAAGATTTATTTCGTAGTGTAATGTCTAGTGTTCGCTTTTTAAATTCTGCATAGAAGAAATGGTGGTTTTATGGTCCTATCCTTGTCTTTAGGAGCCATTGGGCCTCTAAATGAATGGAAAGATGTCACGGACATAAAGACAGATGGTAACCAATCCAAGACCTGGAGTCCCTACTATTTAGGACAGTGGCTGGTTGTGACAGGGCTGGATGCTGTGAGATCATTTATCTTGTTTAAATTTCATGCTCCTTGTGCTGATATAAAAAAAATAAAAATAAAAAATTCATGTTCATTTTAACCCTCAGTTTCAAGTCTGTTTAAGCTGTATGACTGGTGTCTGATGCAAATTGTTTGTCCTGTAAGATGGATTGTAAGGAAACAGAAAGAAATTGGTGATGCATATGCATAGATCGAAAGCAGTTTTTATTCAGGTATTAAATATAATCCAAAGATACCAAATGCCTCGGTTTGCTAGACTAGGTAGAATAGACTCTTGTAAGGAGGAGCTGGTCGATGTTGGATACTTGAAGAGAATTTTTGGTAAAATAGGATTGAGTTTCAAGAAAGGAGACATCCATAATCACCCAAATGTTTTTGTTTGAGGATTATAGCACTTGTAGCCTCTTTTGTTTGGAGCATACCCGATGAAAACACAATTTTCTGCTCTAAGATCAAGTGTGGATCGAATTTGGCTGGGTATGTGAACGAAAATAGTATAGCAAAAAATTTTTGAAGGCAAATCTGAATTAATTCTGCAATCAAGAAATGTTTTTTTGAAATATTCTAGGGGTGTGACATATTGCAAAACCCGGGTAGGCATTCTGTTAATTAAATAAGAGGCTGTCAAAATGGCATCTCTCCATAGATATTTGGGAACATACATAGAGAACTTTATGGTTCAGGCTACTTTCAGTAAATGCTTATTTTTTCTTTCGGCAATACTATTTTGTTGAGTGTCACGACATATAGATTGATGAAAAATACCTTTTTCCCTAAAAAATTCCCTAGATTTTCATTGAAGTACTCTTTTCCATTATCAGCTTGAAAAATACTAATTTTGAATGAAATTGATTGTCAATCATTTTGTAAAAATCTTGAAACACGTTTTTTACTTCAAATTTGTCTTTCATCAAACAAACCTAGCAAAGCCAAGTGTGATCATCTATAAAAGTTACAAACCACTTTAATACCAGTCACGGTGGTAACCTTGGAGAAACCCCACATCACTATGAATTAAGTAGAATGGTTTAGAGGCACGGTAGGGTTTTGTAAGATAAGTAGTTCGATGACTTTTAGATAAATAACAACTTTCACATTGAAAAGACGAGCAATCCAAATTTTTAAACAAGTTAGGAAACAAATGTTTAAGATATGAAAAACTAGGATGTCCTAGTCTAAAATGCCAAAGCATTATTTGCTCGCGAGCCGAAAGTGAACTAATACTACAACCATAGCCTTGAGTTGTTTTATTGCTGGATATGTCATCATCAAAGTAGTAAAGACCATTGACCATTCTAGCACTGCCAATCAACCTCCCCAAGTTTCGGTCCTGAAATTCACAATGAGAGTCAAAGAAAACAACACGACAGTGTGAGTTTTTGGATAATTTACTGACAGACAACAACTTGCAGGCCAGTTTAGGAACATGAAGGACAGAGTGAAGAGTAATATTTTCTAAAATTTTTGTTTGAACTTTTCCTACAATGGGTGAGAAATTGCCATCAGCAATCCTAACTCTTTCACTTTCAGAATAAAATTTTTATTTGAACTTTTCCTACAATGGGTGAGAAATTGCCATCAGCAATCCTAACTCTTTCACTTTCAAAATAAAATAAATAAGTATTGAATAAAGAAGAGAAAGAAGTCATGTGATCGGATGCCCCCGAATGTACATCTGGATAGACTGAAACCAACACAAGAAATTATCACCGTTGAGTTTAATGCTGGTGATTTGCACCGAGTGAGAATCAATGTTGGAGACATGTTTCTCAATGTTTTTCGGTGAAACGGTAACAGTGGATTCAGATGTGGTTTCTGATATGGTGAAGGACAGCTTGCTGGTTCTAGGATTACCTCAGAAGGGTCAGAGAATAAGCCCTCAGCTTAGATACCATGAAAGCTAGAAAGAACAATATTTCTTATTCTCATATTTAAACAATGTACATAGCACCTCTATTTATAGGAGATACAAGGCATAAAATTAGGAATTGATTAGCTACTAATTAGCTACTGATTCTGAGGACTGATTAGCTATTATTTAGCTACTAATTTTGATCCTAATAAACTTTCCTATTCTATAGTATTGACTAAATCTAAATGTTTACAGTTTGTGATATCCAAAAGAATTCAACCATATCCTGGAAGAATTATTTTCTTTCCATTTCCAATATTGAATATAGTTGATATTTGTTAGTTTTCCTTTTCTCGGCTTCTGTGGCGCAGAGGCATTGTTCGTCATGCTATGCTTTTTAAGGGGTAAGTGTTTTATTGCCATAAAAGAGGATTTACAATGAAGTTCATGACATGCCAAAGGCAATACCACCCCCTCTAAGAGAGAGCTTACGCCTAGCCTGTTATTGCCATAAAAGAGGATTTACAATGAAGTTCATGACATGCCAAAGGCAATACCCCCTCTAAAAGAGAGTTTAAGTCTAGCCTGTAGAACAATTAAACCTCAGCAATTGGCATTTTAGGATAGAAATTTGTGTGCTTTGCAAATCCTTAGAGCCTGGTGTCAAGAGAAAATTGAGAAACTAATTGGCATGAGTAGTATTTTATTTTTGAGTTACTGCTTATGTCTACAAATTGGCTTTCATACTTAACCAAAAAAAAAAAGAAAAACAAAAGAAAAACAAGAATAGGGTTAAGTTAGTAGTTTATTGGTGGTAGTTGCTACATAATTGATGTCTGTTGGGCTATATATAATAAATCCACGTGTTTTTTGGGAGATAAATGTAGACCTTTTTTTATTCACTAGCAACTGAGTAGCGAGTAGTAACACAAGTGATGAAGACTAAAGAATTCCTCAACTGAACAGTGTGTCAACAACCAGGTAATCTCAGTTATCACTCAAGAATTCCTTCACTTACATTGCTGCCATTGCTTGGAAATGGAGACTAAATTGGGCACAGGTTTTTTTTGGTTTTTATTTTTTTCATTTATCCTTTTCGATGTTGTGATGCAAAGCGTCATTCTTTGGAAGCTGACATGGGCATGGAGATAGAAGGTGATGGGCGTGCGCGCATATCTTCAACTCGATCTGGAAGCAGATCTCGTCTTGCCTCCTGCACCAGCTGGCAGAGTCGACAACCAGGTAATTTCTAATCTCAGTTGTCACTCAAGAATAAATTCACTTACATTGCTACAATTTCTTGGAAATGGATATCGTATTTCATGAGTAAAAGATCAAAATTATTTTGTTGACACGGCTTCTACATGTTCCAATTAGTATGGTGTTAGAATTGTATGATGCACGATTCGATTCATACAATTTAATATGAGTTTCAACCAAAATTATTTGAATTGTGTTGTTTGAAAATTGGGTGTCTTGTTGAATTGAGAATTGAGTAGTTCGTCTATGTTTTTGTTTACATAATGTATTGAAATGATGCTTTTTTCTGTTACTCTACAATGAAACAAAAATAGGACAATTGCTTATATTCATATACGTGGTTATATATAATTTATTTATATTGATACTATGTAGTATTTGACTTTGATTGCTACAGTGTTCCCACATATGTGTGAGGTTTGGAAATTCCTTTCCAATAATTCGGGCTATATTTGATAAGCATCCCGCAGATCTTGTATGAGAAGGAAATAAGAAATGGAAAAAAAAAAAAAAAACTTTGTTTATAGTTTCATGTGGAAAAAACATGCAAAGAGCGAACTGCTAATACATGTATTATCTTATGCAATTTTATCTTTTCTTTTGTGGAAATTTTGTTGGAATTTTGTATTTCATTTGTTGTGATGGGTTATAGAAACCAAAAACTCACTTTTCGTAGTTTTTAGATAATTAGAGATTGACAATTCCAACTTCCTTTACTTCATTCAAAAAGTTGTTCAGAATAATTGATCAGAATTATTTTGAGGAACCGGTTTGTGCATATTATTCAAAATAATTTTACTTTTAAGAGCAGTTAGTTTTTCGTTTGTATTTTTTTTTTTCCTTTGTGTTTTTGGCGCTAACCCCTTGCAGGCAATGACACATATAGACATGGTTAATCATTTAAGGTAATCTCCTATACTTTTTGATTTTATTTTTTTCATTCAGGACAATGCATCGTTTAGGTTGGGGGCAGAAAATTCTTATTTTGAGAAGAATTTATATATTTGCTTGTTGCTATGAGTTAGTTGTTTTGTTTTTTAAAAAAAAAAAAGTTAGTGCTCATGGTAATCTTTTGTTCTATACATTGGGTGATTGGGCATACTTGTGGTATTTTATTGAAGAATGATAGTAGACTTTTAACGCTGTGAGTTTTGTGCCAATCATTTATTGGAGAGTTATTATACATCTACTCTTAATTTTTCTTTGGAAACGCATTAATTTATTGTTTAGTCTCATTATTTTTTCATTTTTGGTTGAATGCTTAGAATAAATCAATTTGTTATCATACTTTTACTCCCTCGAGGACAATGCATCGTTCAGGTTGGGGGGAGAAAATACTTATCTTGAGAAGAATTTATATGTTGCTTGCTACAATGAGTTAGTTGTTTTGTTTAAAAAAAAAAAAAAAAGTGCGCACGGTAATCTTTTGTTCTGTGCATTGAGTAAATTCGGCATACTTGTAGTATTTATTGCTTTAACTCAAGAAATTGTGTTGAAGTTTGATATGTTAGCTACTTTGT